TTGCTACACTCCCATATTGCACCTTTCCTTGATTTAGACTGTGATCTCTTTGAGAGAGAGAGCCAATTTATGTCAGGGAGTTCCTGAACACCCATCATCATGGTACTTGTATGGGTGTTTCGTCATTAAATCAAATGTAGAATATAGGAAGAGGCTTTCCATCTGTTCCAGTGTCTTTGAGGAGACATAGGAGCTGGGACAAGGGTGCTGTCCAACGAGAAGTGGAAAAAAGCATTATATTTATTCCTGTAACATATCTCCATGATTACTGCTGGTCTCCTGTATTCCAGGAAATCACATTTAGGCATTTGTGCTCTCAAGAATAGAATGAGGAGATAGCAGACAAGACCAAGCTAATGGTGTCTTCACTGGTGGTTTAGGAAGGGACAGATGCTCCAAGAGGCCAAGAGTCCTTATTACTTCCCTCCACCATAGTCAGCAAGCTTTACATACTACAATGCTCCCACTTTAAGTCCTCCCTGAGACAGTAAATACAGCTTGTGCAACTGCTATCTTCAGAACCCTGCCTAGTCTGGGAGTTCGAATCTTTTGCAATGTTTGTTCTCTTGCTAATGTTAGACTAGGGGTCACAAAGTCAATTTACCTTAGGGCCAGTCCTCAAATCCTCCTGGTGCACAGAAGGCACCCTCCTCTTGGCAGCTGCTCCAGGGAGGGGAATGGAACGGGGTCTCCACCTTCCTACACAGCACCCAGCTGCTCCCAGGCAATTTAAAATTCCTTGGGGGCACTGCTGGACTAGAGCAGCTTCCAGCTGCTAGCTCTGCACTGCAACCAGCACATCCCTGTAGCCTGGGAGAGATGTGTGCAGAGCCAACCATCCCATCCAGAAGATGGTTTGGGACAGCCACTCCAAGCTCTGTGCTTTAAGGGACACTGCAGCATCTGCCCCAGCCATTCTATGGACATGATGGTTCCCCATACTCAGGTTAGCCTGCAGAGCCTTGGGTGGGCTCGTGCTGACAGCAGAAGCAAGCTTCTACTGCATTCACCGCAGTGACGGGAGCTGCAGGTAAGCAGAGCAATGCAGCAGCCTCTGCTCTGCTCCACCACCATCTCCTAGGCCAGGCTGGTCACTCTGTTTCACTACAGCAGCGGGAAGTGGTGCGTCCTAGTCTGGACTGGTTTGGAAGAGGGCAGTGAGTGGAGCGGGCTGCTGTGCCGCTCTCACCCCTATAATTTGCTCTGGGCCCGACAGGTTAACTGGAGAATAGGGCACCATCTTGTCCGTAGGATGGTTGAGGCAGCCATTATGGGGTCCAGGGCCTCTGTATTGGACTGTCCTATGGACGGGATGGCTCTGCACACTAAGGATGTTAAGTATAGTGTAATTCACTAATTGAATAATCGATTTATTGTTGCCGCTCTCACCCCTATAATTTGCTCTGGGCCCGACAGGTTAACTGGAGAATAGGGCACCATCTTGTCCGTAGGATGGTTGAGGCAGCCATTATGGGGTCCAGGGCCTCTGTATTGGACTGTCCTATGGACGGGATGGCTCTGCACACTAAGGATGTTAAGTATAGTGTAATTCACTAATTGAATAATCGATTTATTGTTGCATCAGCTATTCGATTAGTTCAGTGGTCCCCAACCTTTAGAGGCTCCCGGGGGGTGGGGCCACTCATGAGCTGAGCGCCCAGGGGGTGGGGCCAC